TCCGAAATGCAGGCGCGAGCGCGCGAGTATAATCCGATGCACGTATGATGCACGCGGCCGTAAAACGTTAACCACGCGATTACGATCGCTTCTTTCAACGCTGCGCCAAGAGTCGTTAGGGCTAACGCTGAAAGATTCGAGCGCGCGCGGGATCCGGGTATTAAATAGTGAACAGCACCGTCGGTGATTCAATCAACGGGATACGGGTCGAGCGTTCACCCCTGCCGTAACAGAAATTGCGCGAAAGTCGCTGATTACCGGACGGCGATCCTTTGGTATCGACAGCGACCGCGGTAGCGAGACGACGACGACGGAGATTGCAACAAAATTGCAATCATCAGCGATAATATTGCCCGCAGCGACCGGGCCTTGAGAACACGCGCGCTAATCGCGTGCTAAAGGTGCACGACGACACGCACGCAGCGAAGGACGCGCCTGAGGGTATCACTTGTCGATTCTCACTTGACGATACTCGGCGTCGTATCCTCGACTCTCCGTTATTACGATTTATATCGCAAGCCAAAGCACAGTCCCGTGTAATTTTACTTAATCCGTCACGCAACGAGGCAGCCGGGCCCGCGATCCTGCGCATGCGGCACCGTGCGATTCTGTTAACGCGAGTTCGATAAAGTACCGTTTGCGTATCATTGATACACTCCCGATCCGATCGCAAGTTTATTGATTAACGGGTCCCCAAATCCCCGGGATTTTTTTTTATCAGAAAACATTTTGGACTTTGAAATATACGATGCAATTCGTGTAACGTACGTACAGCGGTTCGAAAAATTTCTACACGGTGAAAAATAAAAAAAAGTTTGGATGCAAATAAATGTAAAATAAATTTGACGCAATATGTAAAAACGTCGTGTAATTTATCGTGCTCGCCCGAAACAACGCGGCGCTTCGATGAATGATTTAGAATGCGGGCAATTTAAAAAAAAAAAGAGGAAAAATGAATTTTGCCATTCGTAGCCGCGATATATTGACGCGGCGCGGCCCGAAATTAATCTCACGATAAGAAAACATTACGCCTCGATATCGGAATCGTATCTATTGCCCACAACAGATTTGACAGTGCCGCGGACTTTCCGGGAGATTGCGAAGCGAAATCTTTGCCGGCAACGTCCGGGTCGCCGCGTTGCGCAAGAAGCGACGAATCGCGGGGCGCGCGCGCTACACAATTAATATCTGAAAAATTAATAATCGAGCTAATATCGCTTCTTGCCGCGCCACGCTCTCCGGCGTGCACCGCGCCGCGCCGCGCCGCGAGTAAATCACGCAGGCGAGGTCCAACGTCCGGCTAGAGAGTAGAATGCCCTCGCAATAATAATTATTCTCCAAACGCAAGACTGGCAATTAGCATCTCATTGGCTCATTTCTCGCTTATGCTAATGGGAATATTATTTAAGCGCGTGTACGAGAAGGGTTGACCCTTCTCCTCCTCCTCCTCCTCCTCTTCCTCCCCCTGCCCCGTCCCTCCTCTCGCCCTCGTCCCGGACGGTTTAGTGGCCCGTCGCCTCTCGCGTTGCTCGCTTTACCGCTTTCCGCTCGGCGCGTCTTTCCTTCCCCCCGCGCCGTTTACGACGCGCGCGCTAAGGAGCCGGGTCGCCGTTCTGTCCGCCCACGTGGTGTCTCCGCGCGCGGTTTCCCCGTTTAGCACCATCAGGAAATTCCCCGCGGCTTACCGGAACGCGCGCGCTCCCAGCCGTCTGAGAGCGCGTCGCTCCCGCGAACATCCGGGCCCAAGGGAACACCCCGTGGATTCGTTTTTCCGGTATTGTTTTCAACTAGCGCTCGCGTTACGTTGGGTCTGTACACGTCGTTGTGGCATTGTCTATTTTTACAGACGCTCGTTTTATCTATACTGACTAATGGCAGAGCAGCGAGACTCCGTTCTGCCTCGGACTTTCCCCATCCGCAATGGTGCCGCGTAGCAGAGTGGTAATGACGGCTACGCCGAATTTGGAGCACTTTGACGCTTACTCGTCGTCGTAAGTAATGGAAAGATACTAGGGAAGAGAAGCTATCTATACGCTTGACCGCGCTACCGGCCGCTAACAACCAGCGAAGAAAACGGTAGAGTCTCGCCACGGCACGGAAAGCAATCTCACTCGGTGACTTTTCCGTTCTGCGAAATTATCGGCAAAAAGCTCCGCTCGATTGGCGTAGGGCGCAGGAGGGAGATCTTTGTCCGGGAGATATAGAGAACGCGGTGGAAGAAAGACGGGGGGCCGGAGGATGAGGAGGAGAAAAGAAGTCCGGAGAGCCCCGGCGTGAGTCGAGGAGGAAGAGAACGAGGAGGGTCGAAAGGACGAGAGGCGGCGGAAGAGAGAAAGGAGGGTGAAGTGGACGGAGGCAAAAAGCGCGAACGTTACGTGCCTCTTCTTTACGATAGAAGCTCATTGCTCGTAGATTGCGATTTGCCACGGGCGTAATGAAGCCACGCCACCTTCCGCCGGCCTTCCTACGGCAACCGGTAAACAACTACCGGTGACTGCACTTCGCCGCGGCGGGCGAAACGCAACGGCGAGCGCACCCAGCCCCGGGCAGACGTTCCTCCAGCGCCGCGCCGACGGTGGTAGACGATTCGAAAATTTTTATCCGCCAAGCCCATTTAACTCCCTCGATTTACTACCCGTAACACCTGCCAGGGGCGGCTTTTTGCAAATGCATGCCGGGGATAGCCGAGAGCAATGCGCGCACAATCGGCACGAAAGACAACGACCGCAGACGCCGATGGCACTTCCGACCTCGTCGCGCGAAAGTCAAGACATAAATCATCGGCGAAACTTATTTTTACGTGATTTATACGCGGACCAAAAGTTACAGCGATAAATCTGATCAAGTTCGCAAGGCTCTCGAGACCTGATACAGCAATTATATTTATGGTATACTTTTCACGTGACCGTTTTCTATGCTGGACCTCATTGCTATTTGTTTCTCTTTTCGCGCCGCGTTGTGCGAACAAAACAATTTTGTCGCTATCTAGATTCCTGCGCCTACGCTAATATTTTAAATAAGGTTAATCGACAGTTGTGACAATGGCAGCCGCGGGCGCAAGGTGCCGCCTGGCCCGAATATTTGTGACTCGATATGGTCGTGACAAGCCAGGTAACGGACGTGACGTTTCGAAAAATTGTGGGCAACAGTGCGAGAACACGGTCAACGAAATGCATTTCTCGTCACCATTCTAGCTTCCTTTTTTTTCCACGTAAAAAAATCAAAACAAGGGCAGCAACAATTTGGCATTAACTCGACATGTTAATATCGAGAAATACGTGCTCATATGCGTTTAAATAAAAACTGTCTATACGGGGAACAAAAGCCGAAAACATTTTTGCAAAAATAATGACGGTAAAAAGTACGATATATACATATATCTCTCTCTCCACATATAATCCCAATAAAAACATTTTTTTCGAACGTCCTTGTTAAACAAAACTAATCGCGAAACGCGAACAGACCACGGGAGAAATTTAATTCTAGATACCGACGTACTGATTTTAATATAAATAACATAGTTTTCCTATTGGAATTACAATGCATTATTAAAGCCCGTTTCCTTCATAGAATTTTGTAGCATTTAAATATTTCACCAAATTCTTGTTAACTTTTTATAATCCAATTTTAAATGCGGTTAAAATCGTCGTTTTAAATTTACGTTAAATTCATTAAATATTACTTTGCTTAATAAATTATTTTGTAAAACAACACCAAAAATATCTAAAAATTTCAACACGCGCATGGAATCCAGGAAAAGAAAACTGCAAATTCATTGAAGTCACCTTTCGGTGCTTTCACATTCTCTGTGAAAAATCTTTCGGGCCAATAAGGGCGAGACACGGCAACGACTTCTCGAGGAATTTGTAATGGCGGATCGGTCCTAAGTCGCCCTAGCCATCGCCGCAAAGCCGCGTGCACGCGTTCCTGCCCGACGAGAAAATACACACTCGGAGTTATTTAAAAAAACCCATTTCACTCTTATCTCGATCAGAGAGCATGAAGGGTCGCCTAAAATATTTCTTCCTCCGCGTTCCGCCCAAGTTTCGAATGAAACGGCCACTCGCTCTCTCGTCGAGGAAAACAATACTGCGCACTACAGGTGGATCTTTAATTACCGAAGCATGAATCGGACCTAAAAGTAATGTCCTCGGCCTTCCGCTACAAGCGCCGTATGCCTATCCGATAGATCGAATCGTCGCGTACCGCGCCGTAGCCACTTATGTGGCGAATAATGAAGCTGTACGATTTTTTTTTATTTTTTATTCAATCCGCTAACGAAGGAAAGATCCGGGGTGATTGCAGAAAGTTTCAATTACGTTTAGGAAACAGGCAGAAGAATGCACGCTCCGTTCTGGGCCACGCTGCTTTATCGTCCAGATATCGCATAATAAATGTATCCGCCCTCGCGAAACCCCGAATCCGTGTTCCGACCGGAATAACGACGGATGGAAGCGCGCAACGATAACGCCCCGTTAATTATTCCACTCGCTGGGAGAGAGGGAAAAAAAAGTGTGGAACCCTGGCGCTGACTCGCGCGTCGTAACCTTACTTCCTGGCTCGTTATTTCGTCGTTGAAGTCGGCCGACCGTATTTGGGTATCTCGATGGGCGATCGCTCGATGAAATTGAGCGATTAGACGCGCGCCCCGGAGCCAGTCGTCGTCGTCGGGGAAGACGAAACGCGACCGCGAGATTTCCCGGCTATTTACACGCCGCTAAATCGGATAACGCGGCCTCTCGCGGTCCGCTCCGAGAGAGCGTCCTCTCCCTTAATTGCCCCCGTAATTAATCGCCGATGTCTCGGCGAGACGTACGAGCCGTGTTTCGCGATCTCGAATCTCGCACGTTCAAATTCGCACGAATTTCACGAGGGAGGGAAAATGAGCGATTAGAGGCGTCGGGCGACATTATATGCCGCAGATGAGCGATATCGAGACGGCGCAACGGCCGTCTAGCTTCGCTTTGCACGTGCAGACGAATAAATAAGGAAATACTCACGAGCGAGTCCACCTCCGGGTCTGCAATGTAGTACGGCTTCTCTTGTCTGATCTGTAACACACAGACACACATGTAAGAGCGTTAATAATTGGATCCAGCGTAATTGCGGTATTAAAGCTACACGGACGATCGTATCATCTTCGGTGTACATGCATATATGTATAGAGATGCGCACACATATGAGCACGGCTCGAACCCCCCCGCCCCACCCCCCGGCTCCCTCCTCGCCTGCCCACCTCTTTTCTCTAAGCGA